TTTCTTAGGTGCTGTGGGACTGGGGATGCCCTTTCCCCAGCAGCCCTGTTATTCAGCTTGATTCCTGTCTCTTAGACGATTGTTCAGCAGATTGCTGTCTTTTCTTGTCTTAGAGGACAAGAAAAAGGGATATCAGGGGAGAACAAACAGCTTTCACTTTGTGCAGGTGCCATGCTATTAATGCAACCTTTTAGCAAGTAATGTAAATTATTGTTTAAGCCTCTGGGACCTCTTCCACATAATCTATTTTGGGGGTGGATTTTCCAGATGGAAGTATATGCCTATGTGCTGTCTGGTGCAGATGAAGCAAACCTAATGTTGCTTTGTCAGTTTATGGACATATGCCAAAGATAGCATCAGAGAAGCAGCTTTAGGGAAAGGCCTTGTCAAAAGGTGAGATTAGTATTTGACCCATGAGGTAGGCACATGGAGATAAGAAAATATAATACATCACGTGAAAAGTAATGTTTCTGACTTTGGAAGGTCACAGTCTTGAGGAAAAAATAATTAAAAAAAAAAAAAGGAAAAGTATTGTGGAAAAAATTCCCTTTATTTTTCAAATATGGAAACTATCTGTATTAACACTGAAAATAACGGCATGAAGAAAAAGCCCTCAAGAATTAACAGAGTCAAATTGCATGAATGCCATGAACACTCTGTACAGTATGTACAGAACTGATTTCCAGTTCTTCTTTGAGCAGAGCAGAAGGACATACAATTTCAGGTCAGTTTTCATGGGCAGCTCTGACCCCTGGAACAATGTGCATGTATCACATACATAAAGTGACATATGGCCTAATTGAAAATCGATATTCTTTCTAGATTTTCTCTTTTCCAATTAGTATTGAAGAGGTATGTCCTTATCCAAATGCTACTTGTGTATTTATGCATTGAGATAGCTCTGTTTCATCCCATCTGTAATCATCAGGAAGAAATCTGTTTGCAGGTAGGAGAAACATGGAAAGTTTCTGCAAGTAGAAGCATCAAGACTGCAGTAAAGACTGTGTAAACTCACAAATATCTGGTAGTTTTAAAAGTTAGTGGATAAAATTACAAAATACCTTTCAATTATCCAGTTTTGAAGGCTGAGTTAGTAGAAGGTTGGCACTGGCTTTGGAAGGAGTACAAAGACTTTAGTATTCTTCACTGAGCTCTGAAAGCTTGGCCTTTACCAAGACAGATGCAGTGTGGATGGTGGTCTTTGGGATGTGTACAGACAAGAACACAGTGGAGAATTTTTTCTATACATTGAGAAATTCTCATTTCATCACCATCAGGTACAAGTCAAAATTGGCATGCAATGAGCTCCTTTCTGGGAAATCTGGCTTTGAAAGACTCATTTCTGGAATGAAGTGTAACAGCCTTAGTTTTTTATTTTAAGTATGGGATTAAATGAGTAAATCAACGTGGGCCCCAAAATGAAATATGCAGCTTTACACGTAGTGAGACTGTAATATTGACTTTCATTCTTGGATTAATAACAAAAAATTTGACTCTGTATATACGTATGCTTGCACACATGCACCCCTTTCATATATATGTATAGATATATATGTAAGTATATGCAAATTTCTGACAATACTTTGATGTTCAGGTACTGTAAACAGATAATCCCAATCATAATCTGGTTAACAACATGGGTAAATACCAGAGCTAAAAGCTGAATTCTGAAATTCCCAAAGAAAGACTGGTTTGCATTGTTGGAAAATGAGGCCTCTACTTGTTTGTGCTCTGTTAATATTGTGTGGAAAGCAGGAAATCACAAATGGCAAGGCTTGATGCATTCTGCTTTGTGGGAACATCTGTGGACATGTGGATGCAATGTGGTATGGAGAGTCCCTTTTGTGATATGTGTACATGTCTGCTTACAGGAACTGAAAACAGGTTAGACTGCTGAGTTTTATTGAAGTATCATTAGGATCCTTTCAGATAGCTTTTAGAAATGATTGGGTGGAAAGACCTTTGGCAATATGTCTAAGCCAGAAAGCATGTGCATATATTATAAAGCCAGAAGGGATCCTTGTGACCATCTAGTATGACTGTCTGTGTAACCCAAGCCGTAGGACTTCCCAGAATTAATTCCTGTTTGAGCTGGAATGCAATCCAAGAATCTTCTGATTCATCCTTCAGCTTGCCCTTTTTGTACAGGAAGTCTCTTCAGGATTAGAATTCAATGTTTTCTTGAAAAGTTGGACAAATAGTCTGAAAAAAAATAAAATCAAGAAGCAGTTCAATACGGACAAATTGAAATAACTGTAGTAATTATCGTAATAATCAACTGCACAAACACAGGCTGGGAAATTGCTTGATAGGCAACAATCCTGCTTCAAATTATTTAGGAATTGACATGTCTTACCACTGGACTAGGGTCAATGCTAGGGTCATGCTGTTGTTAAAAAATAAAGCACTTCATTAGGTTTTATAAGCAGGTCTGTTCTTTCTGAAGGTTTAGACTCGTCTGCTGAGCAGTGTTATTGATAAGCTAGTGCTGTCTTAGCTCACTGTAGGTACAAGCTGATGCAGTGTATCTGAAAACTCTTTGATTATGATCCAGTCCTCAGATAGAGCCATCTCATCAAAGTAAGAGTCCAACCTTGCTAAGAGTTAGCAGAAGATGAACAGACTTGAGTTTGCTGTATGCATCATCAGGGACAGTTATCCTGATCGTCTGATGCATAGTCTACTAACAACCATAGTAACATGAGTCCAATGTCTAAATCTTAGTGTACAGGAAATATTCTTTCCTCAGTGCTCAGTAATAATAAATCTTTAGTTGGATTGTTGTGTCAAATTTTAGTCATTCCACTTCAAGAAAGATGTGGAACAGCAAGAAGAAAGTTCAGAGGAGAGGAACATGAATGATTATTACCTGTGATATATACAGGATCTGTTTAGTCTAGAAAGGAGAAGAGCAGACATTATAAAAGTGTTCAAACAAGATAATAAAAGTGTACAAAGAGAAGGATAATCATTTGTTATCCAGCTCACTTGCCTCCTGCTAGAGTAGATCTCTTATCAAAATAATCATCTTGCCTTCCATGGTCACCAAATAACTTGCTGCCTTACAGTCTGGAGCTAGCCACTGCTAAACAGAACTACCACACACTTCTAGTTACCCTCTTCTGCTACCAGTCTTAAATGAAAGAGATGCATTTGTGCATTTATCTTAGATTCCAAATAATTGTCCAGCCTATAAAAATACAATACTCTGCCTACAGGATGTGGAATGTGGCAGCACCAATATATAACCCTGCAGTTTCTGGAACGACTAAAAAGAGCCTCAGGATCTGGCTTTGAACATCTCAAGAAATGTGTTGAGGAAGCTTTCTTAGTGCTAGGGAGGGCAGCATGGGCAGATGTGCAGTTGTGATTGGCAAAGTTGACTCCAGCAATGCCTCTGAGGTCTTCCTTCGACGATGTGCAACTCTGAGTGTATGGCTATGGCTAGGGATGAAAAACTGTGTGTAAAGCCAGGGCAGAGGAGTCTAAGTGACATACTGGGTTGGGAATAATGAGCAGACCTCAAATGAAAGCTGCCCAGTTTAGATAATTCCTTGGTGGGTTAGGAGGCTGCTCACTGTTATTGCTGCTCTTAGCCATTGTCAAAAGAAGGACAGCTACACTGCAACAGGCCCAACACTGTGGATCCTTAACATCTTCCTAGTTGAATTACAGACATTCATTTTCTGGGTGTTCATGGACCTGGATGTTACGGAACAAGTCCTAGTGGTCCTGTTCAATGGTGTGAGAGATACTAGCTGTATTCCTGGCCATGCCAAGGAAGGGGGAGAGAGCATGGATGAAGCAGGTCCCTACTTCTATCTTTACACTCGGAGATGTTATGGGTGTAATTTGGGCTTATGTCCAAATGTGTTAAGTAGAAGCTGAAATCCCTTTGGTAGGAATCAAAAAATATATCCTGAATTTTTAAGTCTGGCAAACCTGTGCAAACACTAAGAAGTTATTTGGCTCTGCCTATAAAAGATAAGGAGCTGTAGAAAGACAGAGGTGTTTGAAAGCATATTCTACAGCAATGTAGCTGAGGAGAAGTCACTTCTGAAAATAGGCAGAGAGAGCATAGGAATCGTTTCCTTAAGGAACCCTGTGATGAGGAGTAAAACTGTTTTCTGAGCATGGAAGGGAGTAATTCCTGGCATGGATGTACCACCCAGTTGCTCAGATGGGCAAATTGTTCTTAAGCTTTGTGTTCCCCCTCCTGGTTTCAACAGGATGAGAAGAGTTTGCTGAAGAGAAATGAAGTTAGCCAGGTTTTGGCAGAGCTTGGTAGAGGGAAGAACTGTTTCAAGGGTGAATAATGGATATAATAAATTTTTTAACTGTTTGTTTCTTTCATAATCCTTTAGGATCTTCCACTATTGAGAAGCTTATTGATACCTATTGGTGCCAGCAGCCAGCTGTCCCTGCCGTATGATCCCACATTCCTTCAGGACATGAGTGACTCTAGTATCTGCAACCAAACAGGTTGCCAGTGGAGCTCTCAGGAAACATCAAGTGCAAACACAGTTTGCATCTGTGCAAACACCAGGACTGTGAGCAACGAGGTAATGCTAAAAGCTTGTTTGGGTGAAGGTACTAATCAAGTGAAGACCTTGCAGCTGTATCTTGCAGGACAGAGTTATGGCAACATGGCAACATTTTGGTGCCAGTCCACAGATGGTAGTGTTCCCAACATACCTGGCTACTTAGATCAGAAATAAAGGAGCTCCTAGTCCAGCTCCTTCACTAGGTCTTCCTTACTCATGTGTAACTATTGGGCCTCATAAGAATGACTAAATCAGGCTTTCTTTGCAGTTTAATTTTCTCCTCTTTAATGCCAGTCAGAGAAATATGAGAGCAACAGGATTAGGGAAGACTGCATGTGGCAGAGGTGATAGAAAAGTGAGTGTCTTGCACAATGGATCTTTCTCTGTCCTCCACTCTGGACTTCTGTTTCAAGTTTTCACTTTTTACGGCATTAATCTGTGTTCTGCTGCCCGATTTCACAGTGCTGTCTCCCTTCTGGAGTGCCTGTGGGTGTCATTCTGTGGGCAAACCAGGTGGGAGAGCTGTTCTTTCTCCTCTATCCCAGAATTACCAAGTTCGCAGTCTTGTGCATCCAGCTCTTGCCGGGAGAGATGCTCCACAATGCCAGCTCCCAGAGAATCTCCCAGAACGTTGGTAGTTGTTCTAAGGCGGTCCCTGAAAAGTCAGAGAGAAGAACAAAATGCAGTTTCATAGTAGCAGCTAAGGGGATGAAGATTATTTCAAGAAACATCTTCAGTGAAACTTTTTCTACTTTCTAAGTCATTCCAATAATAGATCAACACTGACTGGAAAATTACTCCCAGAGAGCCTTCCTTGATTGACATCCTTGAGCTCAAGCTTCACATTCATTCCTGTTTTATTGCATTCTCAATTCCTTACTGAAAAGTTTTGGACTTGACAGAAGTGAAGAGGAAGATTGCTGTGTTTATACTGGACACTGTCCTTTCTGAAAGCCTTGCTGCAGACTCAGATGGCCTTTCCACATCTGTTTCACTTAAGTTGCTTTTTGTTTTACAAAAAGTGCTGAAATTCTGGTGCAAACCTATGACAGCACTGCTGTGGACATAGATTTCCTCAACATAGACAGCATGCGCTAAGACAAGGCACCAGATTCTTTGTGCAAAATAGCACATCTAGAAGACACTTTGCAATGAGATATTCTCCACAACCACAACAGTATGTCAGAGCTGCTGAAGCTGTCACCAGTCCAGCGCCGCATCAGATCCTTCAGTGGTAACAGTGGCACCTGATTGAAATAATCTACTCTGAGTAAGCACAAGAAGTAACATGGCTTATTAGGAGGCAGGGCTCTTCCCAGCCAAGTCTGTTCTTATGCACAATCCAGGAGAAGTGAAGCTGTTCTGCAGAACTATTTCCAGCTGGTCAACCATGGCTGGGAGCAGGTTTTGGCTGCTTTGGCTACAAACCAACAATACAAGATACAAAAGAACAGGGGAAACACCGACAAAATCTGTCTGGATTTTAGTGTCTGAGAAGACAGAGAGGTAGGACTGTGCACAAATGCATTCTTCAATCTGGTTCCTAAGAACACTCCTATAAAATCACTTGTCTCAAGTGATTTTATTTAAAAAGGAAAGAAAGCTGAAATGTAGCAGTGTGGTTGACTAGCTGCACCCATGTAAACACTCTTCAACTTTGTACAGCCCAGTCTCATCCCTCTTTCAGTGGTTGGTAACCCAGAACTATCATTCTGTAGTGTGGATTTGGTTATTATTATAATCTTTTCCTATGGCTCTGCAGGTAATTTCTGTGTGCATTTTAAATAAAGCAAATGGAGGACGTTTTGTTTGGTCACCAGGCTGATCAGCAAGTTACCTCTGATGCCTTGAGTCACTGAAGCACATGGCGAAGACTCCAGCCTGGGCATAGAAGGCTACTGTGCAAAGATCTCAGGGATACAGGTGTGTTTTAAGCTCAATGGCACAGGTTAGTGAGCCTGCTTTTAGAGACATCAGGAGTACAGACGAGATCTGTAAGCACTGGCAGGAATGCAAAGCAGTGCATGCCTGCTGAGCAAGGAACTTACAGAAACCAGTCCACAGCGATGATCAGCGTAATATCTTCAGTAGGCAGCCCCACTGATGTCAGTACTATAACCATTGTCACCAGTCCTGCCTGGGGAATACCTGCAGCTCCGATGCTGGCTGCCGTGGCAGTGATGCTGAAGGGAATGGGAAAGCAGAGCTATCAGCAAAGGGAAGAAAAGAGGTGGTCGCATGTGCAGAAATGTCAGGAAGTAGCTCAAACTCATCATCGTCTTAGCAGCCTTTTTGCCCTGGTCACCAAGAAGGATGGTGACACATGGGACATCAACACAATGCCAGACTGCCCCTGCCAGACATCCCCTCATAACAGACTGCACACCACAGCTTTTCCTAAGACCTGGACATGCAAGAAGGGCTCAAGTGGAGCTTCAAAGTCATGGTGTCCACATGTGCTTTGACACCTGGAACTGTAGTACAACCATTCTTTCCCATAATTTTTTTTCTTATTGTCTCTTCTGAGCAAAAAAGGAACCTGATCACACCTCAGATAAGCCAACAAAACTGAAACCCTTTCTGTAGTCCCAAAACTCTTTCAAAAGTCACCTTATTGTGATGATTTGCCCAAAGTCAAGTTCATAGTTGTTGACTTGGGCAATGAAGATGGCTGCAAGGGCCTCGTACAGAGCAGTGCCGTCCATGTTAATTGTGGCTCCCACAGGCAGCACAAACCTCGTGATGCGCCTGTCCACACCATTGTTTTCTTCCAGGCACCTGAAGGTTATGGGCAGAGTCGCTGAGCTGAAAGGAATTTACAAAACCACATGAATTGCATGTATGCTGATGTCGGAAGGAGGACTGTGCCTCTGCCTAGTTTATGACCTTACCCACCTGCTTTTTCACCCTGCCATGTGAGCCAGAGGCCAGAAGCTGCTAGGAGAAAGAACAGTCTAAGCAAGGCTTCCTCAGATATGATGCATGCTGCAGTTGCACATTCTGACATGGCTTTTCTCGGGGGGTTGGGGCAGGGGCTGTATAACCCTGAGGCTGATGATGCTGGTATAACACCAGAAGAAGGTGGATTCAGGGTGCATAGGGCAGAGCCTCAAGATCAGAATTCCTTTTTCTGCTATGAAAAAACTTGAGCCCTTTCCCATCCCTCTCAGTCCATAAGACAAGAATGACACGTTTGAAAACATATCTTGCAAAGAAAGCAAAGAACTATTTCTGGAAGAGAACATGAGCAGGAAAAATGCTCTGTGTTTTGGTATGAGAGTGTGTGTGGAAGAGCCTGCTATGTGCTTGCCAGGACACAAATATAGCAAGAAACATAGCACTTAGTGAAACAACAGTTACCTACCATCCCTTGCTTTGACTGTGTAACATGGCAGTGTAAGTCATTGAACATACTGGTGTTGATGCCTTTGCCCAGGTCTCTGGGAAGTTTAATGACACCTGCATACAGTCTGTGTGCCTGGGAAAGATGGATATGAAAATGTGTGCAAGTACATGTGTGTGAGAGCTATGTGCATGTAGAATAATGCTGTGATTCAGCAGGATATTTGTCCTGAGCTCAGCATTTCAGTGGTAAGCAAAGTAACCCTCGTGTTTGGTCAGGAGAAATACAGGCCATTCAGTGATGGTCTGAGTTGGTCATGTGAGTAGGGCTCCTGAGCAGGGCAGTGGGAACCTTCCCACTCCCAAATGAGTTTGGCTGCTCCACTGCAAAAAGCTGCTAGTGCTAGAAATTGTGAGACGACAGTGCTGCATTGAGAGCAATGGAGTGCTGAGATGTAGTATCTACATCAGCCCAAACCCCACTCCTACATAGCCATCATACCTGGAGGAGGTGCCCAGGGCCGTGATGAGAGCCTGCAGGAGCCCTGCAATGAACACCCAGGGGTTTCGGTGAGTGACAATGAAGTAGAGCAGGGGCAGGATGCAAAGGGCATGAATGAGGAGTCCAACGATGACAGTGAGCGTGTACATCCCCAGCTGGCCTCCCATCACTGCTAGGTCATCCATCTCCAGGATTTTGCCCGCAATTAAAAACATGATCCCAACTGGAGCATACCTGTGACAGAAACACAAGGCCTATGGTCAGGACTGGCTCTCACACTTTCACACCAGCTTTAATACATGCTATCTGGATAAATCCCCAATAAACCAGCATACCATAAGTGCTCACTGAGCCTAATATTGGATTATACTGCTGGTTTATTTTCTAGAAACCTGGAGAGAGCTGGGACTTGTTCATCCCATGGTCAAAAATCAGCTCTTGGTGCATGCCTGGGGACCCCAGCACTGTTTTGCACACAGCATGGACAGTGGTGGTTTCCTCCTCCTCTTGGGTTTTCTACATTTCTACAACACTCCTTGTAGAATCGATAAGGAAGGTTGTGTAGAGAAACCTTCAGAGTCCCTTCCTTTCCTAACAGCGCTTGGGCTGTTTTTTTTCCCCTGAGAGGCACAGGAATAACAGAGAATCAGAGAGTAAAAGCAAGAGTGTCCAATAGGCTCTGGGGTATCAGCCTTGCTGTCTTCAGATGCTCACGTTTAGGGAATATGAACATCTAGGGATTCCAGATCTGGGGTAACAAGGACTGGGTACACCAACACCTGTAAAAGCAGCCATGGCTCATATAAAACCCAATTTTGAGGTACCCTGCTATCTTTCCCATTCCTTATGTCTTTCCCCCCTCCCTCCATGACAATGCAGCTGACAAAGCAGCCATGAGGCTTCACAGAAAAGAAGAAATAAGTCAGATACGGAGAGAATCATGGGCACTAATATAATAATTGGACCAAAGAAAATTCCAGCTCCATGGCCACACCTCTCAGGGCTGGGCCTCTGCAGCCCAAGAGGTCACATGCAACTCATGCACAAGGCTCAGAGATCCACATGCCAAACTCCAGCTTATCCTGGGAGGTTTGGAAAAGTTTCAGGAAAGGATTTCATAAATATTTCATTTCCTCTGACCTTCCTTTTAGAACACATCCTTGGCTGCAGGCAGGGACCAGATTTCCCCAGGAAAAACAAGCTCCTGGGAGATGGCCTGCAGACTGTGGCTACAGGAAGGCATGCACAGGCAGTGTCCCAAGTATAACCAATGTTCTATACATAAACACCCTGCCTTCCTTCATCTAAAAAGGGAGGTTTAAGGAGGGCTTTTGAAGGTCTCAGGAGTAGTGTGCAGGTCTACTTGTTCCACTGTGCTCATGCTCTTGCTTCTGTTCCCTCAGGCAAGTCTTACCTGTTCTTAGGAAAGCAAAGCCCCAAGTTCTGGTTCAGACATGGAGTAAAAGATCCCAGGGGGATGGGGCTTCCCAACATCTGCTATGAGCTCAGGGATATTCTTCCCCTTTGTGCCTTTTTCTGTAAGGCCTGTCTTGCTGTGCTCAGGATTTTGCTCTGAGATACAAGACTATGACTTATAAGATCAAGGAAAGGAAGCTGGAGTGATCTAAAGTGTGAGAGGGTGTCAGGCTGACAGATTTCTTCCCTGTCAGACATTTGCATGTATTCTGCCAGACCAGCGTCTGTCCTCTTTTGCAGGACCTGACAAAACTTTGAGCCCTAATTGGGTAAAAAGCTTAAAATAACAATATTTGGTAAAATGCTGCCTTCTATTGTGGACTTGTCTCAGCAATGCCTTGTTTGTCTGGACCATGTGTCATAGGGAGCCTTGACAGAAAGCAATGAGCAGCTGAGCTCCAGAGGAGTCATGATCTGAAAGATCTCAAACTGAAAGACAGTAACTTTGAGCTGATCCTCTCAACGTACCTCAGCTCTCAGATCTATTGCATTACTGCATACAGCTGCCACTCTGAAAGCAGGAAAGGGGCAAAGGGTTACTGTGATTCATAGCTAAGTTAGACTGCTGGAATACAGCTGGAAGGAAAGCTTTTGGTGAGAAAGCCTCACACCCTACTCCTGTTGGTAAGGCTAAGAGATCTTCCACTCCAGCTCTCTGATCTTCCAAGGATGTTTCCACAAGCCTCAAGAAAAGCAAATCCTGGTGTACCTGATATTTCTAAGGTAAAAACAAAAAGAACAGGAAATGAAATGAGAACAAATATCCCATCCAGACTTTTCCCTCCAGCTTGATGGAGCCAAAGTAGAGCTGTGCCCATCTGCTTTTCCTGTCTTGTGCATGAAATCCTTAAAGCTACCCCACTTCTCATCATGTCAATGGAAACTGCACCTGCAGACCTCCTGCTCCAACCGGCCGTGCTCCTCACCAGATGATAATGGCCACCAGCCTCATGATGGCTTCGTTGAGGCAGTTAAAGAACTCCCGCAGGGCCCGTCCCTTCTGCTTCATGCTGCCGATCATCAAACCGAAGCACATGGAGAACACTACCAGCCCCAGAGCGTTCACCCCATTGGCTGAGCCTGGGATGGGAATGACTTCTTCAAAGGTCAGCACCTCGGAGATGGTTCCCAGGGCATGAGTGACATTCTCCATGATGCTGGTGAAATTCTCAGGCATGGGCATCTGAGTGGTTGTCACACCTGCTGTGACATTGCTGCTGTGGAGGATGGTTCTGGTGAAGACCCTGGTGCTGTACTGAGTCTTGTACTGAAAAGACACAGATTATCAAATGCACTCACAGGCCCTAGTTCAGATGATCAGGACACATGCTAGGCTCTTACATCCCTTCTTAAAGTAAGGAGAGTACTGCAAGTTGCTGCTGACCTATGTGGGAAACTTGCTTTGCCTGTTCTCAAGGACCGCAGTGTAGTGCTTTCACCAGAAAGTTCAGAAAATTCATAGAGCAGAAGGACAAAAGAGACCATTAGATCATCTCATGTCACAAGGACTGAGATATTCTGGCTTCTCTGATAGCCCTTTGTGCTGCTTCTAAGGGCACTAGCACTGCAGAAGAGACAGATTCTTGGAGAATCTATTCCATATCACTGCCAGTCCAAGCCTGCTACCTGAAATCATGCAAACCCTTCCTGCCTCTGTGGGATGGGATGGAGGTTGAAGCCCTCATGTACAGACAGTTTGAAAAGCTTGCATGGGGGATGCTATAATACAGACTACGTATTCTATAATGCAGAATACGTCTGTACTGCCTCCTGCAGCAGTCAGACCTGGGGAATAAAGTGGTAATCCATCCCTCAGAGAAGTAGATAGGACCATGGTCCAGGGCACAGGGCGCAAAGATGAGATTTCATACCTGTTTGAAGCAGGCTTCTACCAGGTTGGGCGGGAACATATTCCTGCAGTAGATAAAACAAGGAAAGAGTTACTGTCCTGTTGAACTAGGAAGAAAACATGGGCTTCCTGGCCAACTTCTTTGTCCTGGAGCAGTGTCTGAGGTCACAACTTTTACAATGTCCACTTAAGCCCTTTCGGTCTGACTGACAGAAGAAGGGAATATGCTGATTTGGACTCAGCCCCTCTTGCAACTTGTCAGACTTCCACTGCATGTTTTCAGACTCCAGAAAGTTATTCAGGTATGTGGAAAGAGATGACACACACCCTGCCCTGGGGTATAGGTACATTGTAAAACCATCATCAAACCCAACCAAACCTTGAAACAATACCATATTACAATGTTTAATACACTGCTTTGCTCTCAGCCTTACCACTACAGTTGTCATTTTAGCTCTCTGTTATCCTGTACCTCAAAAACACAGCTTTATACCACTTGAGATGGTACAGCTTTGCAATTCACTGAGTAAGGTCACAGCAAGGGAAGAAAAGGTAACGTTTTGGGAACCACTTCCTTGATTTCCTTTGGTTGTTGAAGATGGATATTTGGCATAGTCTTTGCCAGGTGAATTTCTGAAAAGTAGCCACTGATGGTTTTCATTATTTATTTTGTTAAGCACACCATGACCTCTTATATTAATACCTCTAGAGAAAGGCTGGACTCCAGGCCAAGCACTCAGTCTCAGAGTGGCAAAGCCAGTTAGCTAGATTAAGCTAGAAGTAGTAGGCATTCCAAGACTCAGCCATTAACCTCTTTCCCTAAGACTATGTGCCTAAAGCTGTGATACTTCAAAAGACTACTCCATGGAGGAATGTGATCTCACTGATATGGTCTCAACATGAGACCATCTTGTTTACCTACCTCACCAAGTCCATGAAGGCATCTGTGGTCTGCACCTGCTCAATTCTGCCTTCTCGGTGAAGTTTGTCCTTAGATCCTTTTCCTGGGTGTATGATGATCACCATGAAGATGCCGATGAAGACAGCTATGATTGTGGTCACCATGTAGTAGATAATAGCCCGCATCCCCATCTTCCCTGAGACTCTGCTATCCAGTGAGGCCATTCCTGGAGTGTCACACAGAGAGACAAGGTGAGGAAGCCTATCGTCTCAGAGAGAATGGGAAAGCTTGAGGAAGACTCAAAGGGTGCAAGGCTCATGCATGAGTTGGACAGGGAGCTAGGGTCTCTACAGGGAATAGAATTTGGAGTTACAAGGTGATGTTGACATGGAAGAATGTGGCTTGTGGTCATGAAGAAACATAGCACTAGTGGATCTTAGTCTGTATTTGGGAATGTAGCAGTTTTCTTTAAAAGTTCTCAGAAGGGAATAATTCCCTCCTAATACAATGGGCCTTTCAGTCCCTAATGGTGGGATGTTTCAGCAGATGTAACACCTTGCAGTCCCTTCTGCTGTCTGAAAGCTTGGCTGTCTGTCATGTCTTCCTTGAGGATATGGGTGAAATGAGCCTCCAGCTGGTGATCAGCTTCAACCCTTTTGAACTGACACAAATTAACCTTCTCTAGGCTGGAGGAAACCTGAAGTTTACTTGGGCAACAAACTTGGAGACATTTGAGATTATGTAGGATTAAATCCTTGTTAGTGCTCAAGTTCTGAGCATTGGAACCACTACATTGCATTCTCCTCAATCTTCTGAGAAAGCACAAGGTCTTCTGCTTTTCTGCACCACTGCTGAGCCAGCAGGGGTCTCAGTGTGGATCATGTTCACTATGGCTGTAGATTCAGGCTTGTCACTACTAGCCAAGCTAATCCAAGCACCTCCAGCTGGGTCATGAAGAGGTACCCCAACAACAGCTTTGCTGACCATTGTCTTGGCTGAAAGCAGCAGAAAGCACTTCTCACCTGTAATCAAGCTAGAGACAATGAGAGGAAGAACCAGCATCTGGAGCATACGCATCAGCAGCTCACCAGGGAAGGAGAAATACTTGATCTGGCGATAGGTCAGCTGGTAGGGCCGGAGGGAGAAGGCCAGGATAATCCCTGTGGATCAGCAAGGGATGAGAATGGAAGTGGGACAGTGTGATGTGGTCTGTCCCTCAGTCCTACAATGTAGCTTTTCTCTTTCTCATCCTCTTCCCAAAGGAACAAATGCTCATTATCTGAAAGGCTATGATCCAGTTTTTATGGTATGCTCTCTCTCCCTCTGACATATTTATGTGCAGAGGAGCCTTGTGCAAAACCACAGGTCTCCTTTTTCCCTGTCTGATGCTCTTCCGGAGTCTGTTCCCAGGAAGCTCATGAATACAAAATGGTGTGATGAGAGATATGATCTCCCAGGCCAAAATAAATAATAAGTTCAGATTCTTTGTCTACCCACCTCTTAAAGCCAAGTTCAGCCAGTTAGAGACATATAGCCCGGATCAAAACCTAGGGACATCCTGCTATCTGCTAAGCAAATTTGGTGTGCATTGTATCACGGCCATTTGCAGCAGTTCTGGTCCTGTCAAGCTAAAGCTGTGGGACAAATCTGAAAAGCCCTTATGCCTACAGCTACATTCACAAGATGCCTCTGAAGAAACCTAGATGATTTGTACCAAGGATTGGTTGAGTTGGACCATCAAACTCTTTTTATTGTAGACTGTTTCTATGCTGGAGCCAGAAAGGATCAATGAGGACTCCCTCCCACATACACACTCTCTGTTGGGTCTCTTGATTTTGCACACAAAAGTACTCATGATGTGGACAGTACTTTGAGCTGTCAGCTCATCAGCTTGAACTCCTTAGTCAAATCACTATGGTAAAATAAAATCTTTGTAAAATATACAAATATTTCCCCTTATTTATAAATGGTGCCTGATGTTGCCACCAGCTCCATACCTAGTAGGACCGCAGCAATGGTGAAGAGGACAAAGGCATTTCTCCTGAAGAAGCATTTAGCACTCTCAGCAGTGATGCTGTGCATCCGCTTCTTGGCCCGCGCCGCCCGCTTCTGCACAGCCTGCCGGAACTGCTGCACCCGGCTGTCGGCGTGGAGCCGCTTGGCTGCATCCTCGTTGAGGAACAGGCTGTTGACATGGCTCTGCTCGCTCATGGTCAGCACAGCTGCTTAGTCCTCCAGGCACAGCTCTGCCTATGCTGGGCAGGGAGAAGTACAGGCAGGAAAGCATAAGCTGTGGCATATCTTACCTTCAGCTTTAGGTCATTTCCCTAGAGCCTGCTTACAAAGGTTTATTTAAAGTTGATTAATGAGATCCTGTGACCATCTGCAAGGAGCAGACCTTGGGGAAGGGTATCTAAAGGGCTGCCAGGGTCTTGTCACTACCGTTTTGATGCCTCTAGAGAGGCTCTGGCCTCTATAGGAACCAACCTGCACTGAAGAGTGGCTTATGTTGGCCTGGGCAGCCAGAAGTGGCTTCATAGCCACCCAGGCTTGTTCTTAGGAGTTTGATCACTTTGGAATGGATTTTATTTTTATCATCTGGCAAGAAACCCCTTTCCCATATACAAGCACTTCCAAACAAAACCAAGCAGCGAACAACATTTCTGATGCAGCTCCAAGGTGGACAGGTCCCTACCACAACAACTTTCTCCATGACAGCAACTGGTGCTGGCAGTTTCTGTAGAAAGGAACATTATCCCCTTGCCTTCCATGGAGCCTGAGGATAATACTTCATTTATATTCATTTATTTATGACTTTCCTTTGAAACAGGACTTTCAAGTAGTATCTCTTGTCAAACTCCATTGATAGGATTAAGCTGATGTTCTGTCTTCATAAATACTAAGACTGAAATCAAACCTACTCCACAGAGATAAATAAAGAACCAATTCTGCTCCATTACCAATTGGCTGCAAGGCTGGACAGTCTACTGTACTTTATCTGTTTAGGTTTTACTGTTATTTTCATATTCCTCAGAAAACAAGGAGGCTACACAGGCAAATCAGTCCCCTCTAGAGTGCTAAAGGCACCAGCCACCCAACAGTTCACATAATAAGAAAGATTATTGCCTGACTATGCAGGTGCCATTTTTCTTCTGTCACTGTGCCTTGACAGATGGAAGGTCTGAAAATTATTCTTGTTCCCTGGAGTTTGCAAAGGAAACAATTTGTAATACAAACCTAAATGAAACCAAAGAAGAACAAAGTCACCTTAGCACATCAGTAAGTGCTGGATGACCATCTTTGAGATGAGCTAGTCCATTTGTAATCCTAAATTTAAACCAAAGAAACCCTCACAAATAGAGACTATATTCTCTATAAATTGCAAACCTAGTATCCTCCATTTGGAGCTAGGTAAATGCCTATCATGAACTGAAGACATTGCCTTAAAGAGAAACTGCTTCTTGCAAGATTGCAAGGTCATATGCACAGAAGGTGGAGAAAAACCTCCATTCTGAGAAAATATTGTTTGCACAGTTGCTAATGCATTCATGAAATTCAGAGCAGCAGACACACCTGAGGTGGCCCTGTCAAGTCACTCTAAGCCCTCCCAAGGCTAAGCTGCGCAAAGGCCACTGGCAAAGATGATGGCTGTTTGCTGCAGGAATCTTGCAGTGCTGCTGTGGTCACCCCAGCTTTTGAATCAGCAAACGACATTCCATGGATTTTAATCCACTCATTCCAGCTTGATCAAGCATTCCATTCCTTACTATACCACCTCACTTTTATATGTTGATGTAGACAATACACACCAGGCTGTGTGAAAACTTTGCCTGTCTTCCTTCTCCACTGACAGTCCTGCTTTTCACAGCTACACATGAGAAAAAGGAACTGCAATCTTTCAGTTCATTAAGATTGTGCTTCCTGAAGCTGACAGTAGGTGTAGAAACTATGAGTTCTAAACCCTTGTCTCCCACAATAAACTTGTATCATTTATAGCTTTCCAGATACAGAGTTGAACAAATGACCCAAAACAAGTGATACTGGAACACACCTTGGTGGGTTTAAGCGTCTCCCGAGGGAGACTCCATGACCTGCCTGGGCAGCTGTTCCAGTCGTCTGCCACCCTCAATGTAAAGAAGTGCTACTTCATGCCAAGGTGGAACTTTTTGTGGTTTCGTTCCAGGCCATTACTACTTGTCCATGTTGCTTGGGCATTCAAATGCTTCCAAATGTCTATTCTGATTGTCCCCTGACACGACTTTGGACCATTCCAGTTGTGCTGCCCCTGGATCTCAGAGAGAACAGTCCAGTACCTCCCTCTCCACCTTCCCTCGTGTGGAAGCTTCAGAAAGCAATGCTTCCCAACCTCCATTTCTCTGAAGGAGACAAGCCCAGAGCACTCAGCTGCTCCTTGTGGGATATGCCTTCCAGCTCTTCACCAGAAAGTTCATATGCATTCCCCTCTTCTGGACATATTTGAGGATCTTCACATCCTTCTTTAATATTGGAGCCCAGCCCTGCACACAGTGCTCCAAGTGAGGTTGCAGCAATGCTAACTACTCTGGGATAATCCCCTCTCTGGACCTGCTGGTCATGCTATGTGTGATGTCTCCAGCATGCAATTTGCCCTCTCAGCTGTCTGGGCACACTGTTCACTCCTCTTGAGCCTGTGGCCAGTCTGCACCCCCAGGTCTCTCTCTGCTCTTCAGCTATTCCTCTCCCAGTTTAGACTTGTACTCAGCGTTACTCCCTCCCAGCCACAGACAAATAGCACTTGGACTACTTCTGTTTTATGCCTGAGATAGCCCAGTGCTCCATTTCAATCAACATTCTCCTTTGAGGCCTCTTGTTCCTCAAGAAAGTCAACAGCACCTCCCAGATTGACATTGTCAGCAAGCTTGCTAATGGGATATTCAATTCCTGCATCTGGATCATGGATAAAAATACTGAACAGTACTGGCCCCAGTATTCAGCCCCAAGGACGCCATCAGTGACCACTCATCAGCCAGACACAGCCCCTTTCACTACAACCATTCAAACCCCACCATCCAGCTGACTCTTCACACTATACACCATCAACTTGCCCCTGCTACAGCTGGACAACTGTCCAGAAGGATGCTGTGAGGGACAGTATCAAAAGCCTCACTAAAAGCTGGGAAAACTGCATGCACCACCTTCCCTTTATCAGCTTCAGATGCGACCTCATCATAGAAAGAAATCGGACTGGTTAAAGAGGACTTTTCCTCTGTGAACCCATGTTGAAGATTGTATTTTTCTTCAAATGTTTTCAGTAGTATTCAGTAGGACCTTCTCCATAATTTTTCTAGAGGTTAGACTCACAAGTCTTTGTGTAGTTCTTTGTGTCTTCCCTTACACCTTTCTTGTGGATTAGAATAACATTAGCTTTCTTCCCAGTCAGCAGGGATGCCATGTGGCTTCCTACAGTAGAGCAGATTGCTACCCGAGACAATCACTTCCAAAAGAAGAGCTACCAGAGAAATTTTCAAACCCCAAACACTCTTTTCCTTACTCCCAAACCACTCACTCTTCATCAAACGACCCAGCACACATTGGTAATGTGAAAAGCTCCAAACAGTTTAGTGAAGTCAAAAGTCACATTGATGGCTCTAAAATCACCCACCACAGACTTTCTATGAACAAACCAGACTTCTCATTTGCTGTGGTGACCTGAGGAGGTCTATGTTGTGTACGGAAAACTGGGCTCCTTGTCTTTCAAATTTTGCCTTTCTTAGAGCTGGACCATATCACAGCAATGGCACAATTTCCTGTACAGGGGAGGTGGGAGCAGAACCCACAAATATAAACAGACTCACCCAATCTTTTTTCCAGATGCCTTCTCATCTCCATGCACTAAAAAATGTATTTTTGTCCAAACAAAATTAAATTTCTATTTCGATACAGGAAAGTATAGGTTTAATCGTTAGATCGCATGTTGCGCCATGTGTTCAGCTGCCTTCTTAGAGCAAAAAAAAAGCACATAAGGAACTCACCAGCATATCTTGCTTCTTTGATGTCCCCATCCTCTTGCTGACTTTCTCCCTTTCTCTATCTGCATATTTTGCAGCAGAGCAGCCCCCTCCATAGCGCATTCTCTCTGTGTTGCTGGTCTGGAATTGTGCAAATATTCTCTATTGCATCAGCAAGAAGTTCTCAGACTGCTGCAGTAAGTCACAAAAATTCTCTTGATAATGGCTTGGATTTTCCTTCTTGTGAGGAAAAAGGTGGCTTTGCTCTCTCGATGAAGGTTGTTCTATTCGTGGCTGCTTCACCAGTCTCCACTCTGCCAGAAACACTGAGGTATTTGAGAGAGCATTTTTGGAGGTAACTTCAAGGATCGAGCAGGGAGCACGAGATATTTCACAGTAAAGTTCAGTTTTGCAAAACTAATGCCTAGTTCTTGGCTGTGAGGTTTCACATAATTTTAAAAATATCAGTCAGATGTTGGTGAAAGAGAAAAATGAGGAAGGAAGACTTCTACACTACATTTTGGCCTGCTCTTTGCAAATTTTTCTGTGGTTATCTCTCCATTTACCCAAAGAGATTTCCAACATGGGGGAAGGAGTACAATAGAGCTTGAGGACTTAGAAAGAGCTAGAAAACAGGGAATCTCTGAATCAATTGAGATACTGTTTCAACTTGTACTGGACATTGAAGAACATCTGTCCTCTTTATCTTTTGTTGCTGTTAAAGCAGCCAACGTCAGAAAAGCCACCATTAGAAAAGCATCCAGTGTGCAGCATCTTCCTGTGAGCATGTTTTAAAGACAGAAGGTCTTAAAATTCTGGTTGAAGGGAGATTGGAGATAGCCATGGCACACTCAGTGCTGGAGGGCCAAAAGGGGGAGCATCAGGGCAGGTTTGCATCCCCTTCTCACAAATTAAATAATGTTAGTCCTACAAAGTTTCACACTTAAAATCTGAGAGTAAAATATTGTATACAGCAGAGAACCTTCTTGAAATAGTATCTTGAATGTAGTCTTTGACTACAGGTTCCATAAAGACACACAGTCTCCCACATTTTGGCCATGCCCCTATTCCAGAGAAAAGACCAGCTTGTTTAAATGGAGAACTAGGACAGCAGAAGTGAAAGTTAATCTTCAAATGCACCTAGTTGAAGGAACACCCACATTAATAAGGATATGGCTGCAGTGTCAGATCAGTCAGGGTTTTAAAAATTTTTTGTCAAGGATCA